AAATATATAGTAACGGTAATTATAGTAAGAGAGATCCCTTAAAAGAAATTTCTCTTCGCTGAATTACATGTTTTCTTTATGCTGCATGTCGGGATGGAAGTTTCTCATGATTCTATCATAACCAAACAAATTTTTTTACTAATATAAACCAGAAATAGATGAAACACTGAAATCTTGCGGGCCATTTGGAAGAAAAGGATGAGTGATGATTGTTTAGAGAATTTAAACTAATTTAACAATAATCTGGAATTCATTCCCTTAACAGTTTCTCTAGCGACACAAAGGTTGACATAAAGAGAGACAAATAAATATTACTAATCTATGGTATTTGACTATATATAAGTATTCTTCTAGAGAATAACTATACCTCAACGATCTATAAAACAAAACCCTACCACCTGATTCTTTCTGATAACAATATGTGCATACTAGATAGGTGAATTTTTATAAATTGTCAAAAAAGATGTTTGATCTGATCAGTAGTGAGATAGCAGTTACAATTTTATGAGAACTAGTACAAGATATATGTTAGAGATAAACATAATGAAATTTGATAATTTATAAAACAGAAATGAGGCATTCTCCCTAAGCGTTTTGATCGATATAATTAATTGTTTGCATATATTTTAAGCATGAGATTCAAGGTTTCCAAAAAGAAGACTTCTTTGAAAATAATTTATACAAAAGTCTATAAATATAGCATATATATATGTATAAATGAAATTACTTGTGAGAAACTGCTATTGTATTGGACAAAGTATAATTATGACCTAGTATTAAGTCATACAATTTCATATGGATAAGTTTTAAAAATGAGTTGTCTTCCACCTTGGTACACTCAGCCAATGATTTTGCTTCAACAGTTAACAGTATTAATTATTCATCAAAATATCCGTTGTAAAAGATTTATGAGGAGACAGCTTTTGTCTCTGTTTTTGAGCATCTTCAAATGGGAAAAGTAACAAATTCCGCTTAGTGAGACAGAGTATTTGAAAGCTTGCTTCCAGGCTGTTTGTCATTTTATGAATATGTGCTCTACACAGCTTGCTTAGGTATGTAAGCTGATCATTCATGGAAAACCGTATTTTACTTATCGTAAGACTTTTAGCGAATGGCATGTAACCAGAGATAGAAAACAAGAAGCTAGGAGAAGTAAACACATAAGATTACGAAGGAACTGGGATTTGGACGCATCTGTTATAGCTCCTTCAAGAAGTTCAATAACATATACTGCTAGTTATGTCATTCTCTTGGCAGTGTCACCTAGCTGAAATAAGATGAATGACTTTTAGCACTTAATGAAAACAGCTATTCTCGCCCAGACAGTATTTAAGTAATTAATGACTAATTTAGTCAATTAATACTGACCTTTACAAACTGACAATGAGGTGTATCGACAGCTGGACTGAACTAGGGATATTTGCAGAACCAATTTCAATATCAGTTACTGTTCTTCGTTCGAATCCTCAATTTTCTTAAGTACACTTTGCTAATACACATAAAAAGAAGTGTACAACAATAATAACGACCACTACTTCCATCGTTATGTAATGATAATGGTGATATCAGATGAAATATTCAATACCAAAATTTCCTAACATATTCACTCATCAATTTGTAATATTTCAGGTTTTTGATAAAATGAATGAATGAAAATAATGAGCATCCGATCATCATAGTTCATAATTTTGGACAATGTAACACCACACACGGTATGTATGTTAAGTGCATCAGTTAATTTAAGAATCAGAGAATTCTTGTCACAGATTTCACAAAAACTAAAAACGTGCCCATCATGCCTATTTTTTTAAATAGTTTCAACCCAATATTTGGATGAAAGTGTCTGACCCTGTGATATATCCAACAAATAAATTAATATGGAGTTCCAAGTATAGTATATTGTCAGACATAACAGACAGGTGATAATGCATTTATTATGTAGTTTGTTATGAAATATGAAGAGGAATGTAAAACTGTCCCATTTCATAATGCTCACACATTACTGAAGTAGCGCTTTTCTATTTAAGCAAGATTCACTAATATTTCAGAGCTAATATTTGGATAATAAATATACTGAAAAGTGACTATTTTGACGTGAAACATTAGGCTAGTCTCTCTCTCTCTTGGACGTCATAAAAAAGCTAAAAAGCTAAAAGTAGACTAATCCACATTTGAATAATTATTGCATACTTTATTTCGTTTTTGTTATATTTCTTACTGAAGCAGAATTTAGGGAGGAATTAGGTTGCTGTAACGATAGCACATGTTTTATTTACATAGCGATTGAATACAATCTTGAAAAACTGATCACATTGAACAGGCTTAGCTGTAGAGGAGTTGACATCTAGCGTCTGATAGTGAGTGAGCCCATATGGACAATAGTCCAAAACGGTTTCATCACATTCCATCAGATAATTATTTTAGCTTTCGATTTTACCTAATATTTTTTGTAAAGACAAACTACTGTATTTCTGCAATGGTGACTTCCCTGCAAATCCGGCTCTTCTTCATATTCGCGTGCAGATATACAGCCTTTTAAGTACTTTCCACCTTAATTGTGTTTGAACTTTCACTTTTCAGTTACTTGTTGAAACCAATAGAATTATTCAACCTCGTCACTAAATCCATTTAACAATCCACGTAATTAAGAGTAATTCTCACCTAAACAGTTGTTCATTAATAAATTTGGGATTCTTCAAAACTTGTAGTATATTTAGACAAAACTTTCATAAATAATAGACTGAATAACTTTCGTTACATGCTAATTATGATAGGAAGTTTGAGTGTTCTTTTTCTAAACGGTTTCTACATTGTACTTTTTGCGTATAACTAACAATGGCATTCACTGTTGAGTTAACTGTTGAATTTACCACACCCTGGTCAAATTCGAAAACATTCAGTTATGAATTAGTTAATTGAATTATATTTTGAATATACTGTACCACCTGGAATCAGAAAAAAACGAGAAATGTTCCGTTTTTTGTACTGTTGTTTCTTGCACTGGAGCTCTCATAATGTATAAACATATGGTGAGTAGACGTTTATTTACTTCAAAAAGTTATCACTTAACCATTAATCTTCAAAACATATTTTAACGTTTAATTTCATTCTAACTGAATTCTAACACCTAGTATATATACACAGCATTGTAATGTTTCATGGTAATATCAGTTATTAGATGAAACAATGATTTTAATCAGAAGTACTACTCTGAATACCATTAGCAAGTAGAACACAGATCAGACTGTTTACACATTTCGAAGCGTTCCCTGTAAAAAAACGGTCAAATGACCATATTAAAATAAACAAAACAGAGTTATCATAGAGTGTATAATAAATCTTGGATCATTTTACGTATGAAATATATATGCCTAATAAATTATTCTACATTTTAAAGATATTCTTCAGTGATTCATTTCGCATGATTATTTCTTTGTAAATTCCTTTAACGGAGTATTTTTTACTCTTTGGAAAAGATATTAGAGTTAAACAGCTATATGTCAGTAAAAGCAATGTCGTCACGTTCTTTATTCACTTGAAAATACAAAATTCCTAACAACAATAAGTACTTTTCGTCGTATTTATTTATTTAAATTCTTGAATTGCAGTTATCTAAACAGCCTACATGTAAGATGTCGTCTAATACCATTTGAGTGATATTTCCAATCCCTCTAACACATTTCTCTGATTGTATCATTGTTTCAATTTAATTTTTTTTCATTTCAATCTTTGCAGATTTATAAGCATCCATGGCAAAGAATGAAAAGATGACAGGGGATTAATTCATGCAGCTGCTTTAAATAGACAACTACTATTAAATTATAGAATTCAAACAAACAATTATTATACCATGTTGGTTGATGGTAACTGGGAAATTCACTTTTAGATAGTCATGCCACTTCGTTGAAATTAAAAATTAATGGGACATATTAAGCAAATAGTGGAAAGGATACTTTAATATTCAGTGCTACTGTTTACAGCTACAAGTTTTGAGGATGAAATCTTTGTTATGCTGAGCTACAGGTGAAAAAAAAAGTTTTAAGCAATATTTTACATTAACCGTTAATTATTCGTTTACTGCATATAAAAACTATCTTGAGGTAGTTTGTAGTTAACGGTGAATTGCCTGAAAGATTTCTGTCAGTTTCCATAGCCTTTGAAACAGCCTTGCAATCAAACTGAATGTATTTTACTTACTTCAAGAGAATGAATTGTGGTTTTTTGTCTCTGAGAGAAAAATCACTAATAGTAAGCAGAGTGTAGTTGAATCACAAACTGCCAATACATGACTTTACAACTCTACATCTTAAGTTATTTATGTCACGTTTTTACATCATACTTCTAATTAAGACTAAAAACCATATAGTCCAATAATTAACTTCTTAATTGTGCATTATAGAGACAAAAATGTGACATGTACACAGGTGATATTCAACGGAATCCTATTCCATGTCAATATTAAGCAGAAGTTTTAAATACAAAACGGTCACCATAGTAATGCAGTCGAACTCATTGGTGTTTACTATTTTTATAAATATTGATGCATTTACTGGAAAGAAAACAATTGAAACCATTAGAAATGTCCTTAATGACCTTCACACACTTGAAGGGCATAAAAGGGCATAAAAATGATAGACTAAAAGTCCTTTTCTACTTTCTTAATAAATGAAGGAGTAAAATATGCTGTTTTGCAAGTAATTTGAATATCTGAGATGTGTTATACCTTGACAACAGCTAACTTCAAGTTGCAAACAAAGTATTATAAAGCAGGTTTTCCTTGAACATTGAAAATGCAATATTCAAGTGTCAGCAGAATCGAAGTTTCACCACATGTAAATGTACTTAAGTATAAGTAGATATGACACATTTAACACCATTTTCAGTAAGTAAAATGTTGACGATGAAGACTTTTTTCGATTCCAGTCATTATTTACAACCTTGATATACACAATTATGCAAATTTCATTTTACTCTCGTGTATAGCTGAAAAGTTCACTAACCTGAAGTGAGCAAGACGAGTTCCTTTTTGCATTTCCCATATTCGAATGTTGTGCAGATTTACAGGTGCAACGGCAGGTGCATTTGGGTGGGTTCATACCGTGCTTTTAATAAATACGTCTTTCATCTAATGTGTAAAGATTTAGGGTTATATCCCATGAAGTAATTTATTTTCTCATTATGATTTATTTGCTCACTAAACTGTAAGTAGTTGTTTCCTCTTAACAGTTAATAATATCTATTTTTCTGATGAAGATGATTATGATTGGTTGATGTATTTCTCGTATTTACCTGGAATGGTTTATTGTCCCACTTTTATTGGTCATATTTTGAAAGCAACAAATAGAGTGGCAAATGAAGATACTGGTCAGTTGTATTTTTCATGAACCAATCGTATAATACGGCATTGGAAGTGTCATAATGTTTCATTCACTGAGAGCTTCATACAGTACAACAAGAAACAGGCCACAATTAATGAGACAAATTTTGATGATACATTTGAAGAGTTTAAGTAAAAATGAGGAACAGATATGCAACTCAAATAGGAGTGATTTTACTAAACACACTTTTAGATGACATTTCAATCGAAATGTTTTTCTTCATGATTACTTGTCAAATGAGTTATTAGATTCAGTGACAGTTGTGTCATGCATAAACTTCATTAAATTTACTTTATTTCAAATCGAATTATGTATGCTACAGTTGTTACACTTTTTCATTCATTAAATTTAAAATATATTTTATAAAGGAAATAATATATTATAACTTGTGCAACTTCATAAAAAGAGTAAATATTACTGCCTCTAAATAGCAGGGACAGTTTATGAAAATAAAGATACTTGAAGATTAGGATCGGTACACCTCTTCTATGTAAATTCTAAAAATAATAATAATACTAACATCAAAACGTTTGCCGTACAATATTAGGCGCGTTAAAATGAAAACAAAGAAAATAAAGTTGCCTAAAGTCAAGGCGAAGACTTTCCTCACCATCTAAATCACCAATTCCTATTTTGACTGAGCACTGCCAACTAGTGTGATGTGTCTGGTCCTTTGTTTGATGCAGACTGAATTCTATCAGTCAGATTTGCAATGTGGCCACCATTCTAGGTAGCGTGTCATCATGGTGCACTTTTAATCGTTGATATTAGATGGTTGGAGGTAATAGTCAGGTAGCCTTGGACTTAGGTTTCGTGCTTGTTGGCACCCGTCAGCAAGGCGTATCTGCAATCTTCAAGGACTAGACACCTCATACTAGTTACTAAAGTCCAATCAGACTATCCAATACAGCCCTACAGGAGGTCAATCGTGAGCCCGACGAGCTCAGTCGTAACATCTCTGACTGCAGCAATAGGTGACACGAGTCCAAATCTCAGAAGAGACATGAGTTCCTTCAAGGTTGAAGATATGCCTTGTTGAAGAGTGCCAACTTGCACGAAACGCAGGTCTAAGGCTTCCTGCCAATTGCCTCCAACCATCTAATATCAACAATCAATTCTTATGTTTCAGTGAATACTTTCCATAGCATTATAATGTAACACAAATGCTAACTTAACACTACTATCATTGGGTCAGCAGTGCATACTGATTTCATACCTAGCTAGCCATTCTATCATTTCATTCCAAGATTGAAAAATAAAAAACTAAAGCTCTAGGCTAATATTTCTTAAAAGTAGTAAACCTGACGTGAAAATGAAACGAACTCTTCAAAAATGACTTTCACTTTATGAAGAGGATAATTGTGAATAAATTCAGAATGACAGAGATCTCACAAAGCCACTGATTTATATAAAATACATCCTACAAAAGTTGGTCTTCACAGGTGTGACACACAGCTTGTAATAAGTTTTTTAACGTAAGAAACGATGATAAATAGCATGCATTTTCTCTAGATAACTACAGTAAAACTACTTTGTTGAGATTTGAATAGGCTTTCAGTTACCTCACGTGTTTTAAAATCTTCGCCCGTTTATCAGACCTGAACCCCCCCCCACCTCCACGTTCACCTTAATAGAACAGTGGTTGAAATATGTACAAAGAATTAGAAACTATCAAACTTACCGACTAGTCTTAAGTGACACCTTGAGTATTATTGTACGTGGTCTTCGATACGCTGCCACACTTTGTCAACATACCAAGGTAAAAACATAACACCGTCACTAAGTAGCATCACTGGAATTAATCTTAAGTATCAGGTGGATATCAGGTATCCGTAAACATGAAGTTTAACATCTTTCATAAAAATGATAGCACACTAATACCCTCGCTATTTTTCATATTTTACAAAAATGAATACATTAATAGCCTTATACTGAAGTGATTAATTACGCTCAAACTGGTCTGTCTTCACAGAAATCTAATCATTTCTTTGACTGATAACCTATATCTATTTTGTAAGAGGAGCTTAAATAAATATGTTTCGATTCAGTGACCTCCTAGATTTCTATGCTGAAATGTTCTAAAACAGCTCGATTATTTCTATTGGACTGCTACTGGGTCAACATACTTTACAAAACAAAAGATTAGTTTGAGTATATTGTGAAATACTATGCCAAATGTTTCACGTGACGTCTAATGGTGGTGTCTCACTTATTCCCTGACTTATGTCAAACTGCCTTCCACCTTAGTCTGATCTGCTTCTGTTCCAGCCTTGCAAATAAAATTATAATATTACTCAAGCTTTCAAACATTTTATTTTGAAATGGCTTTCTAGGATAAACCAATAGATCATCCATCGGCCTAAAGGCACAATTACTCAACGAAAGTTATCAACAGTTAAAATCACTCTGGTTGCATACAGCCTACATCAAAACCAAGTAACCCGACAGCCACTAATAGAATCGCTGAACAAATACAAAGGAAACTGACTTTCTGGGTCAAAAGGTGTAAACTGTAATTTCACTCACTAACCTAAGAGATACAGTACACATAAAAAAGTATTTTGACCAGCTGAAAAAATGTTCTCTTTGGCGGGATTAACTAGAATGGCATCCAGATTCTCAGCATCTCGAGTAAATTCACTGCACCCAGGATTTTTTGAATTTCCTGTCCACATCTTTGACAAATAAAACAACAAAACCAAGCTACAACACAAAATCTATGGACTTTTTGATGTGTGAATGCAAGTGGTAGTGAAGGGTGAACTGTACCCACCAAAAACTTTGAATATCATTTTGTTTTTGAGAAATGAATCTCGATAATGCTTCATAAAATGAATTTCATTACATTTTCCTGCATCCTGTATTCATCACGTTTTCGCCAATTTCAATTTAAACCAATGAGCAATTTTAACCAGAATGTTGGCCACTTAAGACCAAACTGCACTCTTTCATCAGAGTAAATAAATTGTCAAAATGTTTTCTCAAAGTAAAATGTTCACCTTCAGCATTGTGCATTTGTTTCTACAAAACTTTTAAGTTTCTAAATTAGAACCAGTATTAATACTAGATCTCTTTTGATTCATTAATATAATATAAGGGTTGTCATGGTAATTCCTGTGATTCATGGATATCTAAGATTTTATTTTATTTGAATGTTATACTAATGACGTTATCTGCATTTATTTTGACCCAAAGAAAGAACGCGTTAAAATATGAAATAACTTGAATTCATTATTTGGTGTGCTGAATGAACTAAGAAGACATGTACTCAAATAGGCCAACACTAAACAGTGTGTAGAACTTCAAACTAACATTCGTAAGGCGCGTCTATCACTAAATAACATTCTGCTCATACTATTACGAATTGTTTAATTGATGAAATCGCTGTCTGAAACAAATGAATTGTAGTGTGTAGTTCAATTTAGAAACCAGAATAACTTCAGTTAACCCCCACTTGACATTTTTCTGAACGGACTACTCTCCTATGTTGAAATGCAGCACAAATGAATCCCACTTCCTGAGTTAATACTTTAAAACAAATGATTTTGCTTTCCTAATACAAAAGTGTGTGACGTTTTCAAACTGATTTCGGGTAATTCACCATTACTGTGATGAGTTTTCCAAACGTAACAACGTGTGAAGGGCTAAAAGAAAGCCTACCTTCCTTTCTTAATGAAAAACAAAATGTCCTCTTATCTTGAAAAGTTTATCAGTGATGCTTTCATTACACTGACCTCTTTGCTAAGAATTATTCTCGATAAATCTTACATGATCATATGATATTTGGTCCACAGGGTGAAGATTTTTCGAAAAGAAATCTTATCATAACAGCCCTGTCATCTTGATAAAAATAATTCACTGTTATGTTCATCTAGGTGATTAATTCCCTTCATTCTTAAAAGTGCACTGAGTCAAACAACCATACAAAACACAAAACATTTGTTGCATACCTCGCTAAACCTTATGTGAATAAATCTTCTAGTTGACTGACTGAATTCACAAGAGTCACTTATTCATCAAATAACCCGTTAAGTGTTTAAGTAGTGTAAAATAACTAATACAACCATTAACTTCTTAAGACAGGTCTTTAGTTTGTATGTTTCAGTACTGAAGGTCATGTATGTGAAGTTTCTTTTTACACCCTGAAAGAACTCATAAATATCAATGTACACTCAACTTTCGATAGTAGGTTGCAGTAAAGTACAGGTCGAACATCTTAGCCTAATGTAGAGTTGAAGTCTGTTTGTGTCTACAATCCATTGTTTGACGATCAGAGTCAACATACAGAACATCAACACAATCATCCAGTTGTGTAGTGAGTCGTAAGATTCGCCTATCATGCTTTAACTGTCTGCTGATACTACTAGTGTTAAGCCTCGTGACTATCTGCAGGCAGCCTTACAAAGGTATCAAGGAGAAAAACAGCGCCATGAAAAATGATTTGGGATACTTGAAAACATTTATCGCCAATTACTAAGTTCGCGAATTATCAGCTGTTATTGAATCACGAATTTTCTTCAGAAATCAGATTCTAAAATTGGATTATACAAATAGAAGTATTTTCACTTCGCTATGATAATAATCCTATGTAGGACCAAAATGTACTTCCTTTATACAAAAAAAAAACAAAACAGCTGAACATCAAAATAGTTCCGCTTCTGATTCCTAGTCTTCTAGGTGAAACATAAGCCTTCAGCGCCATATCACCAGTGAACTTCCTACCCTGATATCAATTCTAGCAGTATTCAAGACAGACCACAAGCCTTTCCACTTCACCTGGTTTCTTATGAAGTGTGCAAGGAATACCATCTGGCTTGTACAAAATGCAGAAATGACCAAT